TGATGTCAACAGTTGCATTGTCTTTTTGTAGTCTGTAGTAGCTGTGTAGAAGTAGGCTGGGCGCTGAGCGCCAAGTGTGAGTGTAAGGGAACTGGATACTTGTGTTGAAGAGGAGAGAGTGTGCTCTCCATAAACATTGRTTTTCAGTGCTACGAAACTCCATTGGTGTATTATTGGTGCAATGCTGCTATCTGGACAYGGTGTGACTATTTGACTTGCAATGTGATGGTGTGATCTGGGATTGTCATCTCGCTGTTGCTTATTTTCCTTGCAATTTGGTATCGGAGCTGGTTCATATTGCGCTTCATTGGTTCTTCGCAATAGCTATTGGTGTTTCGCATGAGGTGTGGGGCAGTGATACRGCATYGGCGTTGAACATTAGGYGGCCCAGGGTTGTGTGGGCGCACSAGGGAGCTATGTGGTGACATACGGGATGTATGCTGGATGATGAGAACTTGCTGATGTGACATATTAAGCTGAGGTGGAACCGCATTCTGCTGTTGGTTGTGCCGAAGCAGAGACCGGTCATCATAATTGGACATCAGGTTACCGGTGAGAAATTTGTGGTTGGGGGCAGCATTTATGAGGTACGTTGCTCTCTTCCTTATCTACCTTCTTCATCTCTTCTTACCGTGAGGAAGTGAGTTTTGTCTTGAGAGTCCTCTCGATGTGAGGTGTCGCGAACGCTCAACCTTGAGAGTCGACATTCTTCCTGGGCAGCAAGCTGGTGGGAGACGGGCGAAACCTCTGAAGGGCCCTGGACGAAGCACTCGGGTCACGGTCACCATGCCAACCCGCTGGGACTAGTACACGCATGCTTGGGCCGCAAGTCCTTGTTCTGCTGCTTGCGCAAATAGGGGTCAACTCGTACATGGCAGCCTCTATGAGACGCTCACCAGACCGTCTATAAACATTTCTGGTTGGGGACTCGGATTGAATCTGGCTGTGATCGTCGTCCTGACTGCGACGTTAAATAGTTCCTGAAGAGATGGGGGCGCTCTTAATAATCCTCCTGATCAGTCAGATCAACCAGGTGTAAGGCTCGTCGGCGTACAAGGGTAAATAAGAGTGTTGTGGATGCCTTGCTCGACGATGACTTGAGGCACAGGGGTGGGACCGGATTGCACACCTTTAGACACGCTGCTCAACCAGATGCTCAGGGACGTTGACACGAAGTGATTACTCAAGAAGGATACAAAGGGAGGGGGGATTCCGGTAACTGTTCCCAATGGCAATCAACAGACAATCTGCCATCAAGCATACATCTCCAACAGGAGATGTTATTCTTTGTTTTGATTATCTAGTTGTTACGGACTTGCTGACAACTGACAGACAGCTACAGATAGATTAGATCTTTGCTGTATTGCAATCTGTTCCAGGGTAATCTAAAAATAGATGTAATATATCCTGTAGGACCTGACATTAGTTGTAACTATATCACCCAACTGTTTTGTCCCATCCGACCGAAATAGTTGTGTTTCATAATCCGTTGCGTGTCAAGCTAAGGTAGGATTCAGTGTGGGTTCTAGTTTAGATCACGCACACTGTAGCTTATGAGTGATGCAAGCACAAGTGAGGAGGAGCTACTAGTGGACGACCGTAGGACTACTCGCGAAACTGCCCGCAGTCGACCCTTGACATTCCTGAAATTAGGTCCAGGAGACGAGAAAAGATTGAGGAGAGAGGCTAGAGAGAGGGCAGTGGCAAGGAGAGCGAGGGCAGCTGAGGACAGTGCTAGAGCTAGAATTACAGCTAGCATCAGTACAGCCATGGCTACCTCATCTATGACGCAATCCTCTACACAGCCCACTTCGTCAGGAGTCAGTCAGAGTGGTACTCAGGCAACCACTAGTCGGATTGGTCATGTGCGAGTTAGTCAATCTCCTATCACGCCGGAGGACTTGGAAATCCGGCAAGCAGAAGAACTTTAGGATGAGCTACAGTGGCAGATGGACGAAGTAGTAGAGAGGAGAAGGAAAGCTATGCAAAGAAAAACTAGACTAGAGAGTAGAGCCCAAGAGCTAAGCAGACTGGAAAGACTGGATGAGTAAATATTGGATCCTGTTGTTCGTGTGTTGCGAGGAGCCTTATTTTCAGTAGCGGAAGCGCAAAGCGTCCAACAGAAATTGTTGGCTGATTTGGTAGCAGGCCAAAAACAAATTCTGGCTGAACTTCGGGGCCCTCGCACAATGGCGAGGCAGTCGTCGTTTGCTATAGTTCCCCCTGTAGGTGCGGGTCCATCATCAATGCCGCAACGCACAGGGCAAACTTTCTCTCCCATGTTTGGCATACCCTCCCCGGGTGGTTTAGTAGCAACTAGTGGTCCGGTTCATTCAGTCTCAGCCGTACCATCTACAACAGTGGTCACTACAGTCCCAGTGTCCAGCCAGACCCAAGCTAGTGTGCAACAGCCTGTTTCAGTGGCTATGCAGCCGCTGCAGCAAGCACCTGGGCCCATGCAGCCGATGCAGTGGATGTCCAAGATACCTCTAATGAGTCCCAAGCCTTTCTCTGGAGATAAGAAGAAAGAGGAAGACTTGGACACCTGGGTGAGGACTATGCCTACTTATGTGAGGCACAAACTCACAAGGCCAGAACAGAAAGTTGTGGTGGCTGCCTCCTTTTTAGAAGGATCAGCAGTCCGCTGGTTGAATGGTTTGGTGCAGCAACAGGGCTACGGTCAGGATTTTGATGCCTGGGCTCAGTCTCAGACATTGGAACAGTTCGTACGTCCCGTCTACAACAGCTGGAATGACCCGCAAGGGGCTCAAAAGGCCACCGATGCTATAAACAACCTTTGTTCCCGTAGGTTCAAGGATGTTAGAGAGCTTACAGACACCGTAGAACGCCTCCTCGTGGTACCTGGTGTGCGTTTTTACCCGCAGGTTCTCCTAACGGACTACCTAAGGTGCCTACCTACAGAGGTAAGGACCAAGCTGGTTGACGAGGCCTATATCGACCAGCACACTTTTGCTTCTTTTAGTAAGAAAGCACTGGACATAGAGGCAAAGCTAGGATCTGCGCATAAGGCATCCAATGATGGTAGGAAGAGACTGCCCCAGGAGTGGAAGAAAAATGGTCAGTTAACGTTCGTTGACCACGATGGTCAAACGACGGAGATTGACGACTACTCGGATCTTGGGGAGTTCACAGAGCACGATGGGGGTGGTGAGACTTCAGATGGTGGAGTCGTGGCACCCATCAAGGAAAAGGCTAGGGGGACCAGTAAGAAGAAGGTAGTACGGTCCACGGGTCAGGGCGACCAAGGAACACCCTCATGGGTGAAAATTGGTTTAGAATACGAGGTGTGGCGTGACCGCGTTGCTAGGGGTACATGCATGAACTGTGGCAACTTTGGCCACACGTCCAGGACTTGCCGCGGCAAGAAAGTCACAACGAAGGTAGCTTCACCAACGGTGGTGGGCTTATCTTCGAACCCTGGGAGTGCTTCTGCGAGCAGCTCACAGGGAAACACCTCGGGCCAGTAGGAGTGTTAGTCGCTCTTAATCGCGCTGAAGTGGTAACGTTGCCTTCCCCATTTCAGGTGTTGGCCAAGGCTAGTGACCCACGTATCGCCCCGCAGACACATTCTGACTCACCGACGCTCTGTTCGAGAGATGTGTCTGAGGCCCTAGAAGGGTTAGAGACTGAGTGGTCAGGAAAAGACCCCAAGGACTCCTGGGCGATGATGAGTGGAGGTCCAAAGGGTGAACATTTCGTGGTAGAAGTCGATGTAGGTGGCCGCAAGATTGACGCCTTCGCAGACACAGGCTCTACACGAAATTTCATCAGTCGTGCTTGTGTGGATAGACTACGCTTAGGGGACCAAGTGCAGCGGCTTAGCAAAACTGTAGCTTCTACGCTAGCCAACAAGCACAAGATGGTAGTAAAAGACTATGTCAAGGACGTAGCCTGTTCCTTCTCCTATGGAGGGGGGAAGTGATCCACAAGATCTCCTTCCTGGTTAGCGACGAACTGCCATTCGACATGTTACTGGGTATGTACTACCTCGAAGTCTCGCAACCATAATTTGATTGGGATAGAAAGGTGTTGATACACAAGTTGCCAAATGGTAGGACCTTTAGGCTGCAAAAGTACAAGGCTAGCAGTCTAGTGGAGAACTACGGCTGCATGTGCGCTTCGTCTTTCTATAACTACTACAAGCAGAATCGTGAGGAGAGCATGTACCTAGTGTTTGTCTCTGAAAAAGGGGAGGCCGTTAAATCACCCCCAGAGATAGAACAAGTCGTCACTTAATATTCAGACTTTTTTTAGGAGCCCACAGGCATGGTGGAAAGGGAGATTGTCCATGCAATAGAGGTGATCCCAGGTAGTAAGGTGCCTAGAGGACGAATCTATAGGATGTCTCCTGCGGAGTTAGATGAGCTTCGCCGCCAGCTCAAGGAGCTCACAGAGAAGGGATGGATACGGTCTAGTACCTCCCCTTACGGTGCGCCAGTCTTATTTGTTCCTAAGAAGGGAGGTTCATTAAGGATGTGCATTGACTATACGGGCCTCAATGCCATCACCGTAAAGAACGCGGAGCCCCTACCCCGCATTGACGACCTCTTGGATAGAGTGCAGGGATGTCGGTACTTCACAAAGATAGATCTGAAGTCTGGATACCATCAAATTGCCGTTAGGCCGGAGGACCAACACAAAACCGCATTTCAGACTAGGTACGGTCTGTACGAGTTTATGGTGATGCCTTTTGGCCTATGCAATGCGCCTGGTACGTTCTAGCACACGATGAATAAGATCTTTCATGACTACTTGGACAAGTTTATCGTCGTGTACCTCGACGATATTCTCATCTTCAGTAGGATTGTAGAGGAGCACGCTGAGCACTTCAAAATGGTGCTAGGTCTCCTAAGACAGCACCAGTACAAGGTAAACTTGGATAAATGTGAGTTTGGTCGCACCAAGATCTTGTACTTGGGTCATGAAATTTCAACAGATGGATTGAGGCCGGAAGATGCGAAAGTGGCCAGCATACGTGAATGACCCAGACCTCAAACTGTTACTGAGATCAGATCGTTTTTGGGGATGACGGGCTACTATCGTCCGTTTGTGAAAAACTATAGTACTATAGCTTCCCCATTGACAGATCTAACTCGACTTGACACCCCTTGGGAGTGGACTGAGGAGTGTGAAGCAAGCTTCAAGAAATTGAAGTATGCTCTGACACACTACGAAGTTTTCAAACTTCCTGATCCTGACAAGCCGTTTGTTGTGACCACAGACGCTAGCCAATATGGCATAGGCGCGGTCCTTGCGCAACAGGAAGGGCCCAAGTTGAGACCGATCGAGTATATGAGCAAGAAAATGCCATCTCAGAAGTTGGCTAAGTCCACTTATGAAAGAGAGCTCTATGCCCTGTACCGAGCACTAGTTCATTGGAGACATTACCTCCTATGAAGGTTCTTCTACGTGAGATCTGACCATGAGACTTTGCGCTGGATCAAGACACAACCAGTCTTGTCGGATGCACTCAGGAGATGGATTCAAGTGATAGACATGTATGACTATCAACTTGATCCTATCAAGGGTACGTACAACAAAGTGGCTGATGCGCTATCAAGAAGGGTAGATTATCTGGGCGCGCTAGTAACTGAGTTTGGCATATATAATGACCTCACTCGATCGTTGGTGGAAGCCTATCAGGGAGACCCAGTCATGTTAGAGATCATTTGTAGGTTCAAGGCAAAGGATAAAAATACTTTGGACGAATTTACGATGGTAGACGACTTGTTGTTCCTTGATAAGGCGGGGAATAAAAGATTGTGTGTCCCCAGTAGTGAGTCGTTGCGTAGTTTATTTTTAGGAGAATGTCACGACGCAACTGGTCATTTTGGCTATAAAAAGACAACAGCAAACTTAGTTCAGAGATTCTGGTGGCCCTCTATGATGGAAGATGCAAAATGTTATGTTGAAACCTGCCAGGTTTGCCAAAGAGACAAACTAAGGACTCAGGCTCCGCTTGGGCTCATCAAGCCCTTGCCGATTCCTGGAGGTCCTGGTCAAAGTGTGTCCATGGACTTCATGGATACCCTTGTGACCAGTAAGTCTGGAAAGAGACACATCTTCGTAATAGTGGACCGTTTTACTAAGTATGCGAGACTAATCGCTATGCCAGAAACAGCTAAAACTGACCACGTCACCAAACTGTTTATGGACAATTGGGTTCGTGATTTCGGTTTGCCTACGTCTATCGTTAGTGATAGGGATGTCAGGTTCACAAGTGAACTGTGGCAGTCAACTGCTGAGCAAATGGGCACAAAGCTCCAGATGACGTCAGGGAATCACCCTGATTCCAATGGCCAAGCAGAACAGATGAACCGGGTAGTGCAGCACCTGCTTAGGCATTATATTAAGCCAAGCCAGGATGACTGGGACGAGAAGTTACGTCTCGTCGCCAGCTTGTACAACAATGCTGTGCACAGCACCACCGGTATGACTCCCAACTAGCTACATCTTGGTTGGAAGCCTAGATTTACGCTTGACTTTCTGTTACCAGAAAGACAACCTAATGCAACACCTAGCAGCATAGAGTTTGGTGTCAAATATGAGCAGATGCTGCAGCAGGCCGTTGAACATATTCAGAAGTCTCAAGATGCGATGATTGCATCTGAGAACAAACATAAACGGCCTTCTAACTTTCAGGTAGGTGAGAGAGTCTGGGTGAAATCATCTAAACTGGGACAAGAAATAGGGATCTCAAGAAAACTGATGCCTCAGTACTTTGGGCCCTGGGAGATCTTAGATATTGTAGGGGATCAACCGGATGGGCCTTCATACGTGATTCGCATCCCTGCTCACTTACGGACTTATCCTGTTTTCCATGCGTCACAACTGGCACCTTTTTCTGCCACAGACCAATTCCCCTCTCGGAGATCAATGCTGCCCCCAACCATGGATGGCGAAGTGGACATTGACCAGATCGTCGAGCATCGAATGATGCCTGTTCCTTGACCATCAGGCAGAGGGCGACCTCCTAAACCGAGAATGCAGTACCGGGTGAGCTTCAAACATCACCTCGATCCCAAGGAAGATCGCTGGATTACACGGGAAGAACTCATGAGAACAGCGGCTCAAGTGATTGCAGGCTATGAAAGAGAACGAAAAGGGAAGATGCCTGCAGAATAAGAGACTTCTCAGAGGACTCACGAAGTTAAGGAGGAGGGAATGCGAGGATCAGTGTCCTCGGTAGGCCTACGGGGCCCTGTCTGCAGCCTTACCCGCCCTAAGTGAAGGCGGAGGTGCCCGCCCTAAGTGAAGGCGGGCCTGGCTTTTTGCAAGAGGCCCTCGACTGTCAATTTCATATTTGGGGTCCAGGCAGTTGCGACGCGCCAGTTGGTGAAAGAAACACAGGCCGAGTACCGAAGACATTTCCACGGCCTACCGGGCCTTTCCAAAGAATGCAGGCCCTGGGCGTGATTCGCAGCCTCATAC